GCGCCACCTCACGACAGCGTCGCACACCGAGCCGGGAGGCCAAACCGCCACCAAGTAGAGGAGGAGGGGGAGGAGCAGGACGGGAGGATCCGGAAATGGCGTCAGCGAGAACGGAAGTGGGTCGGGGCCTGGCGTCACCTCCCCCAGAGCACCTCGGGCCGGGCTGCCGCGTGAGCGAGCTTCCGGGGCAGATCCCGCCCCGCAGAGTCGCAGGAAGTGTTGTCAAGGAAAGAAACGTTCAAACATTTTTAATGTTTTTATTGCTTTTAGAGAGAGGATCACGGGTAGGCTGCCTTCTGCACGCCTCCCACCGGGGACCGAGCCCGCGACCTCAGTGCCCGGGAAGCGCCCAACCACTGAGCCACGCGGTTGGGGACCCTAGAGAATTTTTATGAGTTTATTTCAACCAAACTGACAATTGCTGGGAAGCAAAACCTCAACGGATTGAGAACACGCTCCGAAAAACTGCACTTTTGAACTTTACTTTATACATTACAATTAGAAGACGTAAGATTGACTACATAAAACCCATTGCTGGTAGAGTAGGGAGGCGGGAGAAAGCCAGGGGGCTCTGGGCCTGGGTGAGCAGCAGAGTGATCGACACCTGCTTCTTTCAGTTGGCGGGTGCAGGATAGTTAACAGTCCGCAATTAACAACGACAGAGAGGGTTTGTGATCTGCTGGGGGTGCCGTAGGTTTGAGGGGTGTGGGAAAAGGGAAGATACTTAGTTATTGCAAAGGCGTGTTATCAGTTCTGGTCTCCTAGATGCATGAACAATGGGCTCGGGTCAGGGGAAGATGGACCTTTGTTAGGGGAAAATAGCTTAAAAGTTTTAATTTCGCCCTAGCCTGTTTGGCTCAGTGGATAGAGCTTCGGACTGAAGGTCCCAGGTTCGATTCTGGCCAAGGGCACATGCCCGGGTTGCAGGCTCCTTCCCCAGTGGGGGGCGTGCAGGAAGCAGCCGATCAATGATTCTCTCATTGATGTTTCTAGCTCTCCCTCTCTCTTCCTCTCTGAAATCAATAAAGAAAGATATATATTTTTTTAAAAAAGTTTTAATTTCACACCATCCTGTGTGGTTACTTCAAGTCTCTGAGTTTGTAAGGCCGCCATGCAGGTCCCCCCAGCTTGTCAGGTTTAGTTTGTGGCCCCTTTGGCATATGAGCTGTTACTCAACCAAAGCTAATTTCCAGTCTTATACTCCATTTTGCAGAAATGGAATCAGATTGCATGAGAGCTTTTGTACATGGTCATTTTAACAAGATTTCAGAGAAGTTTTCCAATAAATACTCATTTACAAAATTGCTTCGCAACTATTTTTTTTCCCAACTCCTTACTTAGCCTGCCCTAGGGTGCTGATTCTGGGTCTTGGTTGCATGTTGAAAGCCCTGAGGTGTCTTAGTGCCTGGTCCCAGCCCCAGAGATGATGACTGTTGACTCAGGTATTCCAGAACAAAAAGCAAAAGCACCACTGGAAGTTACTCTCGTGCGCGCTCGGAGCTGAGAAATGCCAGTGGCACTTCCCAGACTTGCCAAGTTCCTTCCTGGACCTACAGAAGCCTGCAGGCATTTCACTCACCAGTGATTCATTTCCACCAGGCCAGTTTTGGAAATCCAGTCTGCACTCAACAGTGCTCAGTAATTACCAACTTAAGTGCCACCTTCTAAAGTAAAATTGAAGGGGTGGAAATTGCTGGGTGTGCATGAGGTGTGCGTATTTTTAAGGCTTTTCAGTTTCTTGCTAGAGGTCCTTCAGAGAGATCCTGCCAATTAACATTCCCAAAGCAGCTGTTAAAAAAAATCAATCCAGTGAATTTGAAGATCTAATTGGCTTTTTTGAAGGATTAATAAATTGGGCAATATCCCATCTAATCCTATGTAATAAAAGGCTAATATGCAAATTGTCCCTATGGGCGGGAGTTCGACTGACCAGGAGTTAGATGTGCGCTGACCACCAGGGGGCAGCATGGAACATGGCAGCACTGGCCGTGGAAGTGCTGCCGGCCCCAATGGGCCCCGATGAGAGCGGGACTGGCAGGATGATGGAGCAGGTGAGTGGGCAGCACCAGGCCAAGGCAGGTGCAAGGGGAGGTTCTCGACAGCAGCTGCTAGGAACCCTACCCATGCATGAACTTTGTGCACTGGGCCTCCAGTCTATATATATAAAAGTCTAAGCGACCATTTGACCAGTAGCTATAACACACACTAACCACCAGGGGACAGATGCTCAATGCACAGGCATGGAAACATGGAACAGACTGATGAATCTCACAGGGGGAGGGGAGAGGGAAGGGCAGGAAGAGATTAACCAAAGATCTTATATGCATACTAGAGGCCCAGTGCACGGATTCTTGCACTGCTGGGGTGTCCCTCAGCCTGGCCTATGGAGATGGGGCTGA